TGAACCACAATACTGACAAGTGATTAATAAAAGTCAAAAGACCAAAGAGGTCACCTTAATACCAAAAAAAAAAAAAATTTTTTTATTTAATTCAATTGTTTTAATTTTATATTATATCTGATTAAGGCTTTGCAAATGCTTATGCTAGGCAAATTGACACTATATTAAGCACTAGTATCTTATATTATACCTATATCTATAAGTTCAAAAATGTTAGAAATTATTATAAACATAAATGCATTTTTATAATCATGAGTACAAATGTCAGGTATTTTATAATCATAAATACAATATGCTAGACAAAAAGATGCCAAAAAGTAGAAGTATGATGACTTAGTGAAGTGGATAGGTTGTCAACTCCCAAGTGACAAGTTTAAAATTCAAATCCTAATGATAATAAAAATTTACAATTCTTTTTGTATTATAGTTAACTGTCTTCTGTGATTAGTTGAAATTAGATACCTGTAATTCATATTATATTATTATAACTGAAAGGTTTAAACATTCATACCATATTGTATAAAGGAATACAAACTAGTATCAGACAGTGTGAATCTAAAATGAGTTCTTAGATTGTATAAATTATAGAAACTAGATAGAAAGACAGAAACCCATTTAGAAAATCTAAATAGAGAGATAATCTAAATCTTTGATAATATTAATGTAAAAACTAGACCTATAAAATAAAACTAAAACTTGTGAAATTAGGTAAATATGTTAGTCTTTGGAAAGGAACTAAATAAACTAACCAAACTGTTGAAATTTTCAGATTTCAAAAGAAAAAGGTACATGTTAAAGAATATATAAACCAGAGGTATGATTATGATTTATTTTTTTAAACTATCTGGATGATAGTTTGATGGAATTTGAATTGAATATTAAAATAATAAAGATATATTGTAAAATCAGTATCAGAGTTGAAATGAACTTTATAAGGACATAACAGTTTAATAATACATCCTGACTACTAGTATTGATCTTGATCATAATAATATCAGATTAACTATAAGAATAGAATACAGAAGATTATAAAAGATTTAATACAAGATCAAAGATTCTTTATGTAAGTAAACTAATTTAAAGACTTAATAATCATAATATATTTTCATTAATATTGATCAAAGTCATTGGTAGTTAAAAGTAGTAAATGAATATAAAAACTAGAATAGTTAAATAAAAAACCTACAAGCAGGTTTCAGGTATAACAACTAGTGTAGAACCTTCAAGCAAACTACTTAAATTAGACAATGACTAAAGTTGTATAAGTGACTAGTTATATACTTTTTTTATAATTAACTCCTATGATTGTAATGCAACTATTAGCCAAATATACTATCAATAAAATCCTGAGTTGCAAATACTCACCTTAATATTTAAAAAAAAAAAAAAAACTACCAAAAAAATAAATAATTAATAAATATTAAATTTTTATGCTCATACTCATGTTCATTTCAAGTTTTCATGCCTGTGCCTATATCTATGTCAAATTTCTGTGTCTGTGCCCATGTTTATGCCAAATTGTTATACTAGTTTTCATGCCCATGCCAAAGCTTTTATTTCCATGTCCGTGTCTGAATTTTTGTTAAGCATAAGCACGAGCCCAGGTTGCAGACCCCTACACCTGATCCTTCGATCTAATTGGCCAGAAATCACGTGCCTGAAAATTCTTACGGATGAGTTACTAATGTCATTTTGGTGAGGTAAAATCGCCACCCAAGAAAGTTTCGTTCACGTGAAAAATGTAACTTAACAAAATTTTAGACCATTTTATTTATTTTGAATAACTCAATAACGTAATATTTATTACAACCAGTAATATGATTACGATTTTTCTAAGCATTTGGAATATTCCATTTCCTTTTAAAATTAAACCCTCCAATTTATGCAATGCCACAAAGTTTTTACTAATACGTACTATCAAGCCATTTGTTACTGTTTGGATTCATCAATAAATTTTTTTTTGTTGCGTCCTGAATTCAAATAAATAGTCAGTTATAATCTTCCGGAAGAGCATTAAAATAAAATCTACAAGTTGTTTCTGGTGCAATTGCATTTTCTTGATTGGTTTTTTCGATTTAAAATTTTTTTTTTCGTTTATTGTTAGTGGAAATTTGGTTACGGCAATTAATATGTTTTTAGAATAACATGTTTATTGGATTTTATGCTTTTAACGATCGCTTTTCTGAAACTTTTTTGGGTGGCAATTTTACCCCGATCGGAATTATAACTGATCCGCCGGTATGCACGTGAAGTCTTTTCCGTGATATTTTGCACATATAATATTGGAATGCCGAAAATGCCAATAATTCGCGATCTATCAAACCAATTTGAATAATTATATCACTATTAGAACCGGAATAACTTGCTTTTTAATCTTTATTAGAAACTCAAAGGAGGTTTACTTGGCATAAAAAAAAAACTTTTCATTGTAAGCTAGCTGCATTCAAACCCTATAAAAAAACCATATTAACTTGCGACAATTTCTACTATTAAATTTGCTATACCTCTTAATGTTCTTAATAATTGTTGCGGCTGAAAGATTCGTATATGAACAAGAGTTTTTTTTACAGTGTGTAAAGAAAACAATTTAATTTCATTCCCATTTCATAACATCAGGGTGTAATTTATAAGTTTCGTAGGCTTCACGGTTAAAAAAAGATAATTCAGTCTCATTCTCTAATGAATTAATCATATAAATAGATGTTATAATAATGAATTTAGAAAAAAAAAATTGTCTAAATAATATTTAAGTATAAGATCAAACCAATTTTAATTCTTTATTTAACATAACCTCCCCTCGATTTTTTAAAATTTATATGAACCCAATACACATTAATAGTATTTGCTCCTCCTCAATTGTTTAAATTGTATATAATCAACATATGTAAAATCAACCAATAAAATTGCAGTATTGATATTTTTGTGCTTTTTTTCAATGCCCCACCCCTTTCATATAGTTATTTTATGTTATGTTAAACAAAGAATCGGCTTAATATGACTTACCTATATTGCTGGAAATTAATGAAGCAGTTTCGTCATTCAAAATCCAATCATCATGATCAAGATTTATTATTAAATTCTGAGTCTAGGTTTAAATGCATTAAGTTAGTATTATAATGTAATGAAAAAACTATTTAATAATTAATTGATTACTTTTGATCCATGAGCCTTTGTGTAGAGTTTCAATGTATCTTTATATAGGGAAATGAAATTAATATTTTAAATCGAATGCAACTTTGGAATAATTTTAAATACCGTAATCAACATTACGAAAAGGTTTAAATGTTGGTGTTGCATTTATTTCTTAAATAATAAAGAAATGTTAAATATTTAAAAACGATAAGTAAATATAGAACGAAATAATTTCCTAAATACTTTCTATTACAAGTTTTTTTAAATCACCAATTGTCGTGGTTTCTAATTTGATATTTCGTAAAACCAGATTTTTAACAGTTCGATATTCAAAATTTTTAATTATTCGAATTGTAATTGTAGCATCAGTAGGAATATCATTTATCATTTTTAAACGTTATTCGAAATTTTTGAAAATCTAGGGTAGAGTTTATTTTATATAAAGGCGCAACATCTGATTGGTTAATGCACATGAAATCGATTGATAATAAAAAGATTCATTCTGTGGTGTCATGCGCCCCCGATAAATTTCAAAATATCATTCGTTCCGATTTTGTTATTCATCTATAATATTGCAAACATGGCACAATTTAATTCTTCGTTTAACATAATTCCCCCTCTATTTTTCATTTTATGAAAAAAATACACATCACTTTTTACAGCCAATAGAATTGCTGTATTTTTTATTCCTCTTTATGTTAAACGAAGAATCGATTTGGAGTGGCCTAAATCAAAAAATAAAAATAAAAATTTGTACGGTAATTTGTTATTTCCGTTCATCATGACCAATATTCAAATTAACCAGTGGTCACAAATAGAATTTATTAATGTCATATTGTCAACCATTTTTTATCAGATTATAATTGATTATAATTTATTCCGGATAATACCATTAGGGGTCTGCAACCTGGGCTTGTGCCTATGCCCAACAAAAATTCAGACATGGGCATGAACCTGAAAGCTTTGGCATGGGCATAAACACTAGTATAAAAAATTTGGGCACAGGCACAAAAATTTGGCATAGGCATGGGCACAGGTACGAAAACTTGGCTGGGCACAAAAATTTAGTATTTATTAATTAATTATATGTTTGGTACTATTTGGCACTTGTGCCTGGCACTTTTTGGCATCTTTTTGCCTAGCATATTGTGCTTATGCCTATAAAGTTCCTGGCATTTGTGCCCATGATTATAAAAATGCCTGACATTTGTGCCCATGCCCATAATAATTCTTGGCACTTTTGAGCCTATATGTATGGGCATGGCATAAGGCACTAGTGCCTGGCATAGTGCCAATTTGCCTAGCATGGGCATTTGCAGAGCCCTACTGATTATGGTATAATACCATAATCAGAATTTTAAGCTATCGTTATAGCGGAATAAAGAAATTGCTATATAGTAGTAAGGTGTATTGTGCAAGGATTGACTATTTTTTAAAGGATTCTTTATTATCGTACTTAAGATTACTTATTTTTATTTATATATATATATATATATTTTTTTTAGATAAAAATGAAATAAAAAACTTTATTACATTATTTATCATTAGTGACTTGAACAGATTAGATATTGTGGCCGGGTAAAGAACTGATACGTTTTATCGGTAAAGTCATCGAAAGTATTATTTTCTCTGCTAGCCCTCGATTATTTTCGGTGTCTTTAATGAAAGAGCTCTTGTTAGCAAAACTTCCGATATTGTATTGAATTTAATGCTATAGCATCGCACATATTCTCCAATGCAATAATGATTATTGGCACAGTATAATTAGATTTTTGCATTAACTTAAAAATACTTTTCTGGTTTCAATTGTCTTGCGGACGAAACTTGGTAACTTTCTGATCATAGCTTTGAGATTGGGAATTATATCATGGTTACGAGTAATTCATTTATCAATTAACAATGGACTAATAGGGAATCGATTTTTGTTAAGGGCTTTTCCAAAAACTGTTAGGCACTTCTTGAAAAAACTTGGTCAAAAAGTTTATTATTCATGATCTAGCGGTTTGTTTTGAATGTGAAAAACCTTCACTTTTATAATTACCGTTATATTAACATATGTATTTATTTAACAACCCTTGCTTAGTTGCTAAATTACACTTTGTTCTTAGTTTGAAAATGAAATTTTAATTATTTATATATAGCATTGATTTAATATATTTGAACTATTTTAGAGTTTGATACTATTAACCAAAAATGGAAACATATATTTGGGTTTTGATTATTGTTCTAAATGAAGTAGAAATTCAGATTCCCAACCCCAAACTATGTAATAATGTCATTATTTAAGAGTCTCAACTAGAAATGTTAAGTCCTTTTATGAACCTTGTTCAGAAGTAGTCCAGTCCTAATCTCCGAAAAAACTACTGCGTTCTGGTCTAACCTAGTAGTTCGTAACTGATCTGATAATATATTACAAATAAATTACATAATAATAAATATTACTAATAACATTTTGAACTACTAGTTTGGATAACATTATAACTACTAATCCAAATGACATCATGAACTACTATGAACTACTAAACTAACTAGTCTGAACTTGAATCTCAGTTTTGAACTAGAACTAGACCAGACAAACTATTTAACATCCCTAGTTTCAACTCTAGAATCTAGTAAATTTCCACCCGCCATTTCATTAGACGACGATGATGCAGACGTTAAAGAATGAATTGTTCTTGATTCAAGAAAATGGCCATGATTCGTATCTAACCAGCAACGACCTTGACCCCAATAACACGTACTGAAAAATAGAGCTAGAAGAAGTATTGTACAATACACGCTTTTTTTAAAAAAAAAAGTAAAAATAAGATTACAATTTGTTTAGTCGATGAGTAGTTGATTAGAGAAGTTTAAGATCAAGAAAAAACAAGCATTGCGAATATATAAAACTATTTATTTGTTTTTTTCTTACCATGGCCTCTGGTGTAAAAAGTATGAAACCAAAAAAACCAGCACGAAAAAAGGTGGTGCGTTCGGAAAAGGTAATAGCAGTAGAGGGATGAACCAACGCATGCAATACATATTTGTGACGATTATAAGTAGCGTAGCGATGAAGTTAAGCTAAAATTGCATATTTGAGACAGTTTATAAGCAGCGGTAAAGTTAAAATTGTCAGAATCCTTATACTACGCTAAATGCGCCATGTGCCTGTCTCTTATGTGGGTCATGTGGTCAGCCACTGTGGCACTATACTAAAAATTTTGATACATCTAGACATACCCTAAATTTCTATAATAACATGCGATCTTATTGGTTATGTTTAGGTGTATCAAAAATGTATGTTTTGCCTATCAGGAATTTAGATTAACTTGAAGTGGCGCATTGTGGCACATTCGGATAAGCTTTTTTAACTTTGTTTTCGACTAGGTCGTGGTTATAGATTCTAAAAGATTATTTTTATATATATGTTCTGTTTTGATGTTGAAACAATTTAAATTTACACACTTTGGTCATTTTTCATATATCACATTACGTTACGTATTGCAAAAGTGCTAATTTCTTTTTTATTGATAAAAATTATATTTTATTTTAATTTTTATTGTTTATTTTATTGTTTTATTTATATTAAAGGTAAAGGATATAATTTTCAAATTATATATATATATAACTTATAGTAAATTTTTATTTAATTAAAAATAAAAATATTTTTTTAAGTAAACAATTTTTAAATATTAACTAAAAATTGTAAAATAGGTTTTTTTAATTCTAATAATAGTAAATTTATTAAAATTAATTAAATATTAATCAAGATATATATTGTTACAAAGTAGATTTTTAATATAATATTATTAGTAGTTTTTTTTAAAATATTAATAATAAGATCATGCTTTTAACTTTATTGAAATTCAATTGAAGTTTTTACAAAGAAAAGCTTGCTTTTAAATTATATTTGAAGAATAAAAACTCAGACATATAATCTGCAATCTAAACTTATATTATTAGTAGTTATATATATTCATTATTGTATTTATTATTAATGATGAGGCTATGATTATTGTATTTTATATATATTATATTTATTATTAGTTATTAGTTATTAGTTAGTCAATAGTTATATTATATAGTAGATAATCTTAATTAATTATTAGAAAAGTAGTACAGTTACATGATACTAAGTAACATCTGTAATGTTACTATTATTTTACAAACTTTAAGTAGTTTTATACAAGTTTTATATATCCTAATATCAAATTACTATATTATATAAATGTTATAGTACAAGAATTCTAAGTATTTTTAATATGAACTCCAAGTATCTTTACACAAACTTCAAGTATTTCTGCACAAATTCCAAGTATCTTTATATAAATTCAAATGTTTAAATACAAGTTTCAAGTATTTAAATACAAATAACAAATAATATAAACAATATTTTTAGTTATCTTTATACAATTCTTATTACTATAAATACAGTATTATTTAATGTTATTTGAATCTCTATTATTTCAAGTATAATAATAGTTAATGTTGTTTGAACTTTTATTACATCAAATACAATATTGTTTAATATTATTCAAACTTCTACTACTCTAAATACAGTATCAAATAATGTTATTCAAATTCTCATTATTTTTACTAAATAAAAAGATATATAAAAGATATTTTTTTTCTTTCTTTACCAGTTTTAAGTTTCTATATTTCAACTTAAATATAATAATCTTTTAATTATAAAGTATAATATTTATCTTTTAAGATAATTTTTATAAACAAGATTGTTATTATATATATTATTAATAAAAAATTAATCTATATACTGTTACTATCTTAATCTGTTTGCCTACTGCTATATAATAAAATAAACTACTACATCTTTATTTTATAAATATTTGTAATAAATAATTATTGTATTAGATAATTTTGTTATTTGGTTGTATTGTATCAAGAAAGCTATAATCTTATAATGATATATATTTAAAAATTAGATATTATAAATTGTTTATATAAATTATTTAAAAATTATATAATTTGGATTAATCAAATTAATAATTTTATATAATTACAAAAATTTTAAAATTCTTACAGAGAACTTTGCAATATATACAAGTATATTTTTTAAAAATATTTTATTTATTAAAAATTTTATATATTATTATAAAAAATATATTTTATTTTATATTAATTGCAATAGTAAAAAGTTTTATTAGTAATAAAGATTTATATATTTTTTATAAAAATTATATTGTTAAGATCAGATCAGAGAATTTAAATAAAACATCTTAGCAGATATGTTAGGTACAGCAATTAGTAGAGAATCTTAAGACAGACTCTTTAAATAGGTAATATAAAAAAATTACACATGTAGTCAGTTGTATACTCATCTAATAGTTCAATATAGATACATTCATATAAAACATGTACCTAATATAAGTATTAATAAAAAGCTAGAAC